TGCTGAAAGTTATGCCTTTAAGCATTAACATGTATAAGGGGCTGAAAGTTATGGCTCTGGTCGGACCATCCAGCAATAACATGTTTAAGGGGCTGAAAGTTATGGCTCTGGTCGGACCATACAGCATTAACATGTTTAAGGGGCTGAAAGTTCTGGCTCTGGTCGGACCATACAGCATTAACATGTTTAAGGGGCTGAAAGTTATGGCTCTGGTCGGACCATACAGCATTAACATGTTTAAGGGGCTGAAAGTTATGGCTCTGGTCGGACCATCCAGCAACAACATGTTGAAGGGGCTGAAAGTTATGGCTCTGGTCGGACCATCCAGCATTAACTCATCAGAATGTCAAAACCCACAAACCACCATCCAACCTTTTGACCTGAGCACCCGTCTCCAGCTCTTGCAGACGATGCGTTGCCCTAGTTTCCAAATAAACGAAGTCAATCTCAGGAAACGGATCCTCGCGCTGCACTTCACGTCTGCTCTAATTGATAGAAATGTAATCGGATATAGATAATCCAATTCAGGTATCGATCTTTCTCTCTCCTCCAGTTTCTGCCCGGAGCTCTAATGACGCATTAAAGACCCGGATCTGGTCTCATGAAATCTTCTGATCAATAAGGAGAAGCAGAAGACACAGATATACAGACTTTCTGGGTCCCCATGTTTGCTTATGAGCAAAATGCAGACATTTTGTTCACTTGAGCATAAACTCTCTTCACCTTGTTACAGAATGGCTTGCTTTTCTTTGTTTAATTACTTAACAATCATTTGGTTTGGAATTATTAATTTTTTATTTCTTTTAATAAAAATGTTTGCTCTACAAATACATACTATAATTATAAAAGCATGTTTGATTTATATCAAGCACACTCAAGAACTGCCCATACACTCCATGCACAATGGAACATACATTGCGTCCTATACCAAGTGGGTGCCAGAACTCGCTCTATCAGATTTACTGTAGGAATTGGCGACGGCTGTTATAATTATCTTCAGGGTCGTAGGAAAAGAAAAAAAAAATGGGGGGGGGGGNGGGGGGGGGGGGGGCGGTGAGGGGGGACAGTCTGTCCGGGGTGACACTTATTTATTTTAATGCAAGGGTTGCATTTTCGGACAAACTGCAAAGTTTTTTTAGTGTGGAACGGGCGGGGAGTGCCTCGAAGCAAAAATCTCGTACCACCCCGAGCGGCTCTAACCCTAGCTGCCTAGCTACGCCACTGACTATTCTTTTTTTGGGGTATTATTTAAGTGATTTAATTATGTTGGTAAACAGCTTTGATATTGAGTTTAAAAAAGGAAAATCGTAAATACAAAATTCTTTTTAAACAAACTAACACTTGAACTGTTTACAAAAAAAATATTTAAATATTTGTATATATGTGTGTGGGGGGGGGGCGTGGGGGTGTTGATGCTGAGAGACTGTGGACTGATGTTGATCAATCGACTGGTCTGCACGTTGGGCTGCAGTGCAACGTCACGAATGATTAGCTTGACATTGAGGTCACGACATGACCTGGCATATGAGGTGACGTCAAATACGACGGATAGTTTGATGTTAACCTTGACTTGACTTTCATTGCTGCGACTTTCATTGCCGTGACTTTCATTGCTGCGACTTTCATTGCTGCGACTTTCATTGCTGCGACTTTCTTTGCTGTGACTTTCATTCCTGCGACTTTCATTGCTGTGGCTTTCATTGATTGCTGTGACTTTCATTGGCGTGACTTTCATTGCTGTGACTTTCATTGCTGCGACGTTCATTGATGAGACTTTCTTTGCTGTGACTTTCATTGCTGTGACTTTGATTGCTGTGACTTTCATTGCCGTGAATTTCATTGATGTGACTTTCATTGCCGCGACTTTCATTGCCGTGACTTTCATTGCTGTGACTTTCATTGCTGTGACTTTCATTGCTGTGACTTTCATTGCTGTGACTTTCATTGCTGCGACGTTCATTGCTGCGACTTTCTTTGCTGTGACTTTGATTGCTGTGACTTTCATTGCTGTGACTTTCATATGCACTGAGTTTTCAGAAGCAGAAGACACAGAGATTCTCGAGATTTCTCAACTCAAACTTGAACGCGCGCTTACTCTGACGTGCTCTGCCTTACTCTGACTTACACTGACTTACACTGACTTACTCTGACTTACGCCAAGGGCCCTTAATCCGTCCCCCTAACGTTACCTGTTTAGCACGGATGTTGACCATCGAATGACTTCCCTTTGAAACACAATCAAATTCATTTTCATCACAATTTTCTTCCACAATAATTTATTGAACCTTTTTTTTTGTTGTTGAAAATGAAACTATTTTTTGTCCACGTAGAAGAGCATGCTCCCCCTCCCCCTACCAATAGCATGCTCTTTATTCATTTACTTTTGATTATGATTATTCTTATTATACTTTTTGCGTTGAAACGATCTGATAATTATACTTCATATTTTAACTAAACGTTTCGTGTTTGTTTGTTTTTTTAACACTAATTTCTCCCTCTTTAATTTTTTAATGATATTAATATACTGTTTCATAATTGTTTCTATCTTTTTTTTAAATCATCAGGGCCCCCCCACATCCAACCTTGAGCACTGAGCTGTAAGGTAAGCCTGCAGTCGAATTTTTCGTAGATGCCGAAGCTTGTTTAGCTCTTCGCCGGATCTTCTTCCACGCACAGCGTTCAACACGATTGGGTCGGACGTCTTTGACTCGTGTAGGCCCCGCCCCGCCGGGCCACACCCCACCCCCCTCCCCCCGGCCTATTCTGCCCCGCCCAAACGAATGGACGTTAAGGGCATCATTTTGCGGGGCTGCAAAAAGGGCGTGGTCGACAGGACGTCGTCCAGAACCATTGTGGATCACGTGGTCTCGTTGTTGTTCTGGTCACAGTGCGTAAGGTTGGGCAAGAAGAAATGCATCAAGTAGCCGTTCACCTTTAACGTGATAACCGCTGTGCCAATCAATAGAGTGGTGACGCCATCAACTCGTACGCCAACATAACGTCAAACAGCCCGTAGGTCAACATAAGGTCAAACAGCCCAAAGGCCAACATAACGTCAACCAGCCCATAGGCCAACATAACGTCAAACAGCCCGCAGGTCAACATAAGGTCAAACAGCCCGTAGGTCAACATAAGGTCAAACAGCCCATAGGCCAACATAACGTCAAACAGGCCATAGGCCAACATAATGTCAAACAGCCCGTAGGCCAACATAACGCCAAACAGCCCATAGGCCAACATAACGTCAAACAGGCCATAGGCCAACATAATGTCAAACAGCCCGTAGGCCAACATAACGCCAAACAGCCCATAGGCCAACATAACGTCAAACAGCTCGTAGGTCAACATAGCGTCAAACAGCCAACATTACGTCAAACAGCCAATAAGCTGTAACGTCTAGACAGCTTATAAAACATAACGTCTAGACAGCTTATAGACAGAAAGCATTGACCGTGCCATTGTTCAGCATGTTCATCGCCAAGTGACACACAACGCCAGCCGGCCATCTGCGCCTGTCCCGAGCCATCTGAGCCTGTCCCGGGCCATCTGCGCCTGTCCCGGGCCATCTGAGCCTGTCCCGGGCTATCTGAGCCTGTGCTGGGGCCAAACGCAAGTATTCCCGCAAACTAATCCACGATTTGAGACGACACATTTCTTGCCAGTCGTCAACTCGCACGCCCACCGTCATGGACGCTGGCGGCTTGGCTGACGCTCACATCATCAACCCCCTCCCGTCTGACAACGTCAGCACCACCATCTACCCCTTCAACACGACGGCGGCGGCGCACAACGAATCGAACATGGATTTTGAACGCTACGTCCGCATCATCGTCCCCACGATCTTCGGGGTCATCTGCATCCTGGGCCTGTTCGGGAATTCCCTGGTCATCCTCGTGGTCGTGTCCGACAAGCACATGAGAAACACCACGAACATCTTAATACTATCTCTGGCCGTGGCCGATCTGTTGTTCATTCTGTTCTGCGTGCCGTTCACGGCCACGGGCTATGCCCTGCCCGTGTGGCCGTTCGGGGACATCGGCTGCAAGATGACCCAGTACGCCATGTATGTGTGCGCGTACGCCAGCGTGTACACGCTGGTCATCATGTCGCTGGACCGCTACCTGGCCGTCGTGCACGCCATCCGGTCGATGACGCTGCGGTCGGAGCGCAACACGTGGTTCGCCATCCTCATCATCTGGATCATCATCCTGTGCGGCAACACCCCGATACTGCTGCAGTTTGGGGTCTTCAATTACGTGCACGAGGGTGAAAACCGGTCGGCGTGCCTCAACCTCAAAGAGCTCAAGGAGCCCGAGGCGGGCAAGGCGTTCTTCGGATCGTTCCTCTTCTTCGGGTACGTCATACCGCTCGGGGTCACCATGCTGATGTACGGACTGATGCTCAAGCGGCTGCTGTACGGCGTCGTCCCGGGCGGAGGCAACCAGTCGGCCGAGAGCATCCGCGCCAAGAAGCGCGTGACGCGGATGGTGGTCATCGTCGTGGTCATCTTCGCCATCTGCTGGCTGCCCATCCAGATCATCCTGTTCGCTGAGAGGTTCGGGCACGCGCCGAACACGATCCCGCACATCAGCACCATGTTCGCGGCCAACTGCCTGGCGTACATGAACAGCTGCGTCAACCCCATCCTGTACGCGTTCTTGTCCGAGAACTTCAGGCGGAGCTTCAGGAAGTTCCTGTGCTGCACGGAGAGCTCGCGGCGGATGGAGTACGAGCGGACGAACGTCCGGTTCACGGTCACGGAGAAGGAGACGACCACGACCACGAAACAGACCTGTGTCAATAACTCTAAGACCTACACACCGGTATAACACAGAGAGCGCACGTGTAACACACAGCACCCTTATAACACCGAGCAGGCGTGCGTCAAAACTCTTAAACCTAAACGCCCGTATACTACACGGGGCAAACGTGTGTGTCAATACTCAAAAATCTAAACAACCGTACAAGACTGAGCACACGTGCCATCACAACACACAGCACCATTATAACACAGGGCGGGACTGCGTCAAACAACAGCAAACCCACACATCCGTGTACTACACGAGGTAAACACGTGTGTCAGCACACTAACACCTACACACCTGTATTAGAACAGAGCCCAACGGAGCAGATGTGTGTAAGTAAAACTAAAGCGTACACACTTTTAAAACATTAGAACAGACGTGTGTCGGTGAATCTGAGCAGACGCGTAACACATAGCGCACGGTGTGGCGCAGTTTTTGCCTTAATAGGACGGTACAGGAATGACTCAACCATTTCTTCATTACTCATATCAGCTGGACATCGCTTTAAAAGCGAACCATGAAACCCCAACCAAACAATATTGGAGCAGAAGTGATTTTTTAAATTTTTAAAAAACAAATTATACAATTATTTTTAAGTTGGTTTTAACTAACTAACAGACACGTTATGGTTATAGCTTTAGGTTATGCTTTTAAAATTGAATGCCCTTGGCTAGTACATAGGCAACCGCTTTCATCTTATGTGCTGTGCCGGCTGGTGCATAGGCAACCGCTTTCATCTTATGTGCTGTGCCGGCTGGTGCATTGGCAACCAGCTCCATCTGATTTGATGTGCCGGCTGGTACATTGGCAACCAGCTCTATCTGATGTGGTGTGCCGGCTGGTACATTGGCAACCAGCTCCCTCTGATGTGCTGTGCCGGCTGGTACATTGGCAACCAGCTCTATCTGATGTGCTGTGCCGGCTGGTACATTGGCAACCAGCTCTATCTGATGTGCTGTGCCATATGATATCTTAACGTAGGACTCTCTCGCCACCCTGGCCTTCCCCGCAACATCTGGTGCTGGGCGTTCAGTCAACATATGCGCTAGAGTTTCCTGTCTGCAATGCCGACAGGTTGGGTCCCTGTTGTTGTCTAGCCTGTGAACGTATGAGTTAGTAGGGCAGTGCTCGGTTCTGAGCTCAGTCGTTCGATTCGGATTACATTAAATCGAAATGAATATAACATGGGAATTGGAACTGAAGCGTTTCAATGAGGTCCTGGTGGAATATAACATGGGAATTGGAACTGAACGGTTTCAATGAGGTCCTGGTGGAATATAACATGGGAATTGGAACTGAACGATTTCAATGAGGTTCTGGTGGAATATAACATGGGAATTGGAACTGAAGCGTTTTAATGAGGTTCTGGTGGAATATAACATGGGAATTGGAACTGAAGCGTTTCAATGAGGTCCTGGTGGAATATAACACGGGAATAGGAACTGTAGCGTTTCAATGAGGTCCTGGTGGAGTATAACATGGGAATTGGAACTGAAGCGTTTCAATGAGGTCCTGGTGGAATATAACATGGGAATTGGAACTGAACGGTTTCAATGAGGTCCTGGTGGAATATAACAAGGGAATTGGAACTGAACGGTTTCAATGAGGTACTGGCGTTCGCTACGAAACCCACACGAGATTTCAAGGTGCCCCAAAACCACACGAGATTTCAAGGTGCCCCAAAACCACACGAGATTTCAAGGTACCCCAAAACCACACGAGATTTCAAGGTGCCCTGGGAAAGCGCGTGATCCTGATGACCTGTTTTGAAGTTATTTGTGTTTTGCATATTCTATAAGTCAACGTGACTAATTTGAGAACCCCTGAAGTCGTTGACGGCTCAAGCGTAATAGGAACCGCTGACTGCACACCGATTACAAGATCTTGCATGTGTTTTGATTTGTGTGTGCTTTTTATTGGTTTGTTTGTTTGTTTGTTGTTTTTGTTTAGTTGTAAGGGAGTTGACGTCATATAGCCTCCTCTGACCACGACATCACGTGACATCACGTCTTGTGGCCGTCAGCATCTTTGCATGCCTTTGTTGTATCGCCTGCTCTAGACTAACCAAAATTCATCTTTTATTTTGAAATTGTATTTATTCCCCATGACGCATACAAATAACCTCAAAACCATATATATGTGTGACGTTTTTAAAAGATAAATAAATCCTTCATACAAAAATAATACAACCCACAACAAAAAAACAACCTATATCTAGTATCTATATCACGTCTTTGGGATACATTGTATCGTGTTTTAAGCATTGTATTCTTTGATTGATTGCGTTAAATAGTATACACATAATGTTTTAAAATTTTTAAGATGACGACACTAGAATGCGATGGTGAGTGCGTTTGGACAACAATCCATTTGAATGATAAGTAAGAGTATAGCTTCCACACCAAGAGATACATTACGTGATAAGTGTACATTCAAACGCGCGTGATAAGGTCCTGCTGTATGATAATGACCTGATCATATTTGACCACGTCCTATGTTGTGATAATGTCCTAATGTATGATATAATGTTATATTGTATGAAAATGTGATAATTGTTGATAATGTCCGATTGTATCATCATGTTTTAATTGATAATGCCACACTGCATGATCGTACGCTATAATGTCCTATGTTATGATAATTCCCAATGTATGATTATATTTTAGTGTATGATAATGTCCTAATGTATGATAATGTCCTAACAGATGATACTAATCTAGTATATGATAATTAACTAATAATTTAAAAATATATAATAATTTACTAATAATTTAAAAATATATAATAATTTACTAATATATATAATAATGTCCTATTTGTATGATAATGTCCTTTGTTATGATAATGTTCTAATGTATGATACTATTCTAAGTATATGATACTTTACTAATATGTGATAATGTCCTATTTTATGATAATGTCCTATTGTATGATAATGTCCTATTGTATGATTACATAATTTTGTATAATAAGGTCCTATTGTATGATAATGTCCTATTGTATGATAAGGTCTTATTATTTAATACCGTTCTGCTGTTTAACTTACTACTAATATTGTCGTCTAAATTGTGTTTTAAACAAAGACATATGGGGGAGGGGGAGGGGTGGGGTAGCGTCGGCTTGATAAACATATGCATGCGTGTGTAACAACTCATGGAAATATCTGATTGTACATACACCTTGATCCGTGTACACCAGTGCAGTGGTTCCCAAACTTCTAAGTTTGGCGGACCGGGGGACATGATTTATTTGTATACTTTTATTTCTATTTGACAATAAATATTTATGTTATGGGGACCGGCAGCGTTAGGCATGTGGACCGGTGAAGGTCCATTGCCCGCCATTTGGGGACCACTGCACTAGTGTACACCCCAGCTCTTTAGATACCCCCCCCCCCAAAGATGTGATACTGGCTAATTTCCACCATTGCTTCCTTTCAAGCTGATTATTGACTGATGTCAACATCATAGTTGTTGTTTTTGTCACATCTTGTTAATTAGTGAGTTCAAATTTTAAAAAAAATATAATTAATTGTCAAGATGTACAGGTGAACCTGTTGAAATATAGGCTCAGACCTTGTAAAGATGTACAGGTGAACCTGTTCACATATTGGGTCGAACCGTGTGAAGATGTATAGGTGAACCTGTTGACATATTGGCTCAGACTTTGTAAAGATGTGCAGGTGAACTTGTTGACATATTGGCTCAGGCCTTGTAAAGATGTCCAGGTGAACCTGTTGACATATAGGCTCAGGCCTTGTAAAGATGTAAAGGTACCTGTTGACATATTGGCTAGGACCTTGTTAAGATGTCAAGGTGAACCTGTTGACATATTGGCTAGGACCTTGTTAAGATGTACAGGTGAACCTGTTGACATATTGGCCAGGACCTTGTAAAGATGTAAAGATGCCTCTTGACATATTGGCTAGGACCTTGTTAAGATGTACAGGTGAATCTGTTGACATATTGGATAGGACCTTGTTAAGATGTCCAGGTGAACCTGTTGACATATTGGCTAGGACCTTGTTAAGATGTACAGGTGAACCTGTTGACATATTGGCTCAGACCTTGTAAAGATGTAAAGGTGCCTGTTGACATATTGGCTCAGACCTTGTAAAGATGTAGAGGTGCCTGTTGACATATTGGCTAGGACCTTGTTAAGTTGTAAAGGTGAACCTATTGACATATTAGCCAGGACATTGTAAAGATGTACAGGTGAACCTGTTGACATATTGGCCAGGACCTTGTAAAGATGTAAAGGTGCCTGTTGACCTATTGGCTAGGACCTTTTAAGTTGTACAGGTGAACCTGTTGACATATTGGCCAGGACCTTGTAAAGATGTACAGGTGAACCTATTGACATATTGGCTAGGACCTTGTAAAGATGTACAGGTGAACCTATTGACATATTGGCTAGGACCTTGTTAAGATGTACAGGTGAACCTGTTGACATATTGGCTAGGACCTTGTTAAGATGTACAGGTGAACCTGTTGACATATTGGCTAAGACCTTGTTAAGATGTACAGGTGAACCTGTTGACATATTGGCTAGGACCTTGTAAAGATGTAAAGGTGAACCTGTTGACATATTGGCTCAGACCTTGTAAAGATGTAGAGGTGAACCTGTTGACATATTGGCTAGGACCTTGTAAAGATGTAAAGGTGAACCTGTTGACATATTGGCTAAGACCTTGTAAAGATGTAAAGGTGAACCTGTTGACATATTGGCTAGGACCTTGTAAAGATGTAAAGGTGAACCTGTTGACATATTGGCTAAGACCTTGTTAAGATGTACAGGTGAACCTGTTGACATATTGGCTAGGACCTTGTAAAGATGTAAAGGTGCCTGTTGACATATTGGCTCAGACCTTGTAAAGATGTAAAGGTGCCTGTTGACATATTGGCTAGGACCTTGTAAAGATGTAAAGTTGCCTGTTGACATATTGGCTCAGACCTTGTAAAGATGTAAAGGTGCCCTGTTGACATATTGGCTAGGACCTTGTAAAGATGTAAAGGTGCCTGTTG